GTGTGAATTTTAAGGGAGTTTTTTTTTTTACTTTGAGGTAGTTTATTAATAATAATAATAATAATAAAAAAGAAATTTGAATAAATAAATAAATTGTTGGAAAAATACACGGCCACGTTAAATATATAATTGATTGATGAATCGATTAAAAATAATATATATAAATATATATATATTAAATATAAGAATGTGTTTATTTATAGAAAATGAATCAAAAATATATATATATATATAAATGGGAGACGGAGAAAAGAAACAAAAAAAAATAAAAAATTATTTAAATAAATTAAATAATATATAATATATATAATTTGCACAATTATTATTGTTGTGAAAAGAAAAAAATGTGTTTTGTTTGGAGAGAGGGATTTATAATATAACAAATAATAATAATAATAATTTTTTTTTTTAATTAATTAATTAATTAGGGGGGATTTTTTTTTTTTTTTTTGTTATGGGTAATAAATAAATAAATAAATTAGAATTTTTTTTTTTTTTTTTTTTTGATTTAAATACTAACTATTATAATTATTATTATTATTATATTTGAAAATTATATAAATAAATAAATAAATTTAAAAAAAATGTAATTTATAAAATTTACTTATATTAAATGGTAAAAAAAAAAAAAAAAAAAATCAAGGATGATGTCATTTGTTATTTTAATTTTTAAAATATATATATATATATATATATATATATATATATATATATAAGAGTTTCATAATATAATATTATTATTATTATTATTTTACACGCAATCTGGAAAATTATATATAAATATATAATAATTTAATCAATAATTTTATTTAAATAAAATAAATTTTGCACTTATATATTTGATTCTGATAATAATTTTTTTTTTTTTTCTTATGATAATGATTTTTTGTTTTGATTTTTTATAAATTTTGTAAAATAAAAAAGTTTTTATTCATTAAATTTTATTTTATTTTTATATATTTAATTAAAGATAATGCGAATAAATAAATAATTTGTAAGTTTTTAATATGATTCGCCATTAAAAATAGAATTTTTTTTTTTGTACGTTGGATTAAATGCAGGTAAATTCATAATGGAAATTATTTGTCGTGTAAATAATTTGATCGTGTCATTAGATTTCTGTTATAAACTTCGTTTTAAACAACTTGTTTCTTTTTAATGAAAATATTATTTTATTAAATAATTAATTGAAATATTACGTTTAATTATAAATAATACTCGTTTTTTAAAATGTATTTATTAAATTTAGATTTTTTTTAAATGTTTATTTTCATGTTTGATTAGTATAATTATAAAACGGAAAAAAGAAAATGTAATGAATTATGTTAAATTTGTAACTTTTTTTTTTTTTTTTTTTTTTTTTTTAAACATGTAAAAGAGTGAAAAAAATGTTTTTATTATTTCAGTGATTATGAGTTTGAAAAAAGTTATTGAAAAATTACCCGTACATGTGAAATGTAAAAATTCAATTTATCCAAAAAGTAAAAATATCGTTAGATTTCCCGTACCTGATGATAAAGTTTTATGGAATATCGAATGGCCCCAATATTCTCCTGTAGTTTACACTTCATCAAATCTAACAAATCAACCTTGGGCCGATCCTCCGTTAGAAACTCATAATTTTAATCCCAAATGGAATTGTTTAGATGGAAAAGTCAATAGAAAAAGTCATTTTTGTGAATATGCTATTGTCGATGGTTTACCCATTAATCCAATCGGTAGAACAGGAATTAAGGGGAGAGGAGTGTTAGGCAGGTGGGGGCCAAATCATGCAGCAGACCCAATAATCACCAGATGGAAAAGAAACTCTCAAGGAGTAATAGAATGTGATGTAAAAACTCAAAAACCCATACTTCAATTTGTCGCAATCGAAAGGAGAGACTGTCACGAATGGGCAATTCCAGGTGGAATGGTTGATCCGGGTGAAACAGTCAATCACACATTAAAAAGAGAATTTTTAGAAGAAGCCTTAGATATTTTTGGAACTTCAGACGATGAAAAAAATTTTTAAAAAAAACAAGTTGAAAAATTTTTTTCAAACGGTTTAGAAATATTTAAGGGTTATGTAGACGATCCGAGAAATACAGACAATTCATGGATTGAAACGGTTGCTACAAATTTTCACGATGATGATGGTAGTCATGTGAGTGAATTTCAGTTATCAGCAGGTGATGATGCTTTAAATGTTAAATGGATAGACATTAATTTCGATTTGACACTTTATGCAAGCCACAAAAATTTTATATCGCAAGTTGCTCGAATAAGAAATAGTCATTGGTAAAAATAATCAATCAATCAATCACCCAAAAAATATTTTAAAAGAATACATTTTTGTTTTTTTTTTTTTTTTTTGTTTAAGTATTAAAATATTGATAATATTTTACATTTTATGACTGTATCATTTATCTCAATTTCATAATATTTGTTTATTTATATTTAATGATGACATCATTAGTAAAATATGAATTGCTTTATTATTCACTTTACCAAAGCTATCGACTAAAATTTATTATAAAAGAATTAAAAAATAATTAATAGCAATCATTTAAACAAACTCTAATGCAAAAAAAATTCAAACCTGTTTAAATTTGGCGGTAAAATCATAGTTTTTAAAATACTTGAATAAAATATAAACATGATATAAATAAATAAATATATGTGTGACGTAATCAGATTTTTGTAATACCTAATTTTTATGACACCCTAAAATTAACATTTTAAATTGACCTTTTCCAGTACAGTAGGTTAAATTTTTTTTTGTTTGTTTGTTTGTTTGTTGTGGATAGGTTAAAAATGAATACTATTATAAATTTTATAATAAAATTTTTATATTTAAAAAAAAAAAAAAATTTTCTTTTGTCTAACACATTAAAGCATCGTTTAAAACAATTTTCAATGTTTTTACATATACCGTACATAAAATTTTATTTTTTAATAATCTACAATTAAAACATTATAAATAATTTAATTTAATAAAATTTAGTCGGGGAAAAAAAAAAATAAATAAAACAACTTAATAAATTTTATAAATTATAATTTTAAAAAAAAAAAAAATTACTACATAACTTTTTTAATTTTACACATTTAGGAGGGGGTGGGGGGGAAAAAAAGAAAACAAATTTTCTTAAATAATTATTAAATTCACGCAACAAAAAAAGCAATAATAATAATAATAATTTAAATAATAATAATAATAATAAAAATGCTTTTCAGACAAACTACTACTAATTAAGTAATTATATATATTAAAAAGCATTAACACATTTTTTTGCAAAATATTATTTTTATGTACATAACATTCTATGTATTATTAATAAGGCCCTTTTTTTTAAAAAAAAATTTTGAATTTAATAAAAACTGACAGAAAATTTTTTTTTATGCTTGGCAAACATTTTAAAAATAATAAATTAAAAAATGATATGAAATCAGTCGTGTTAAATATACAAAAAGGGGAGGGAGGGAGGGAGGAGGGGGTGGAAAAAAGAAAAAAAATCAATTATTGGCCACCGTGTAATTTAAATA